AAAAAAAAAAAAAAAGAACTTTCCATGTACTGCCTCACTTCCCCTCCATTTACAGGTGAGGAAACTGAGGATCAGAGGCTAAAGATGCATCCTGGGTTCCTGACTCCAAGGCTGGTGCTTTTTACCTCTATATCATCCTACCACCCTGAGTCACAAGGAGTGGAACAGCCCCCGGGAGGTGGGGCACACTTGCACTTCATAGCCCACTTTCACACCTGCCAGGGCCCCAGCTGAGCCAGCTCCCAACCCCTGCCCAGAACTGCAGAGCCGGCTCTCACCCCAGGTTCTCACCCCATCTCGTGGTACAGCACAATGGCCCGGGGGCTGTCAAGGTTCTGCCACACCAGCACTTTCCTCATGGACCCATCCAAGTTGCCCACTTCAATCCGGTTGGTTCCCGTGTCTGTCCAGTACACTTTCCGGCCAATGGCATCCACTGCGAGCCCATCTGTGGTTTGCAGCCCTGCAGGAAGTCAAGAGCACACACTGGCTCCTGCCTTAAAACAGATGGGCTATTTCCCCAGCTCTGTAGCCAGACACATGGTCCCCGGGGCTGGGAGCAAGGCTCACCTGTGGTGATGATGTCCTCATGCTGTGAGCCTTCCAGATCGGCACGGCTGATGCTGTGCAGTGTACTGTCTGACCAGTACACCTTTCCTGGAAAGGAAAGGCTTGGCTCAGCCCGGACCTTCACCTCTCCAATGGACACCCCCAGCGGACTCATGCTCTGAGACACCAGGGCATGTCAGAGAGCCCCATACTGCTGAGCAGAGGAAACCAAGGGAAATATGGAAATATCATGGCAGTAAAAGTTCTTGGCAGAGGTGGAAAGGAAGGCCCCAAACCATGCCTTCATTACCAAAGAGAAAGTGTTGTGGAGATGGGGGCAGGGCTGTGCCAGAGGGAACAGGGAGCCTCAGGCTCTTAGCAGGAAACAGGTGGTGGGGGAGGAAGAATTGCAGTTGCAGTAGGTAAGGGACAGAGGGCAGGGCCACACAGACCTTCCTGGGGATCCACTCCAATGGCAATGGTGTTCTTCATGGTAATGTTGATAGGTACCACCACATCGGCAAAATAAGGGATGTCCAAGGAGACCATGCGTATGTCTACTCTCCTGGCGAAGATGAGGAAACTGTTCATGCCTGCCCAGGTGGGAAGAAAAAGAAGGAGGACAGTCACCCTAGTGTAGCCAGCAAGAGGATCTGAAGCAAGGCAAACTTGAGTTCATGCCTGTCCCTGTCAGTTTGTAGTTGTGTCTTCCTGGGCAAGTGATTTAAATTGTTTAAGCCTCCGCTTCCTCATCTGTAGAATGGGGATAATAGCAGGGTATCTGCAGGATTAAAAGAGATCATGCACAGAAAGCACTCAGCACTAGGCCTGACACATATCATAAATGACAACTCTTTGTTAATACGTGGAAGTGACTCCCTTTGAAGGAACTTTTACCATGAGGTTGGAAAAACTTCATGTTAAGTTAAAGAGGGCTCTCCCTATAACCTGGCAGGCCCGATTCACAGATCCTTTCTCATTCAAATTCCCAAGAAAGTTAGGTTTCAAATGCAGCCTGCCATGTAGCATCCTCTAGGGAGAAACGTCAACTGCTAACATCCGGGCGGCTACACCAGCCCCTGCTTCTGGGACCCTCCAGAAAGGCTGTCACATACCTTGTACGCTCACAAAAACACCACCTCCAATGGAGGTACCATGACATTGGAGAGATCATATGTTTTGATATGTATTATACCAGCTATGGGCACATAGAACTAAAGTGACTTGTTCTAACCAAACCAGTATATTATGACAATTTTCCAACAGTGAAAGTGTCTGAGAACAGAGCATCTTTTTCTAATATGCATAGAGACACCATAAGAACCAATTAGACTCTGCCTATGATCCTGTCTACCTGGTCCCCTGGGCCGCTTCCTGGGCTTCTCCTTTTTTCTTTTTCTTTACGTTTATTTATTTTTGAGAGACGGAGAGAGACAGAGCATGAATGGGGGAGGAGCAGAGAGAAAGGGAGATACAGAATCAGAAGCAGGCTCCAGTCTCTGAGCTGTCAGCACAGAGCCTGAAGTGGGGCTCAAATTCACGAGCTATGAGATCATGACCTGAGCCAAAGTTGGACATTTAACCAACTGAGCCACCCAGGCGTCCCTGGACTTCTCCTTTTTTTGTAAAACTTCTTGGTCTCCCCCATGCATCTCAGAGTACCAGGACCCACGGTTTCTCAGCCAAACTGGAGTCCCTCTACAGGGAAGGAATAGAGCCACTGCCCCTCCTAGAGAAGCTCTATCCAGGTCTGTGATGCTCAAACTCACCTGGTGAGCAGGTCTTGCCATCGGGCATCAGGTTGATGCCTGTGGGGCAGGTACAGCTGAAGCCACTTGGATTTGGGGACCGAAGACACAGATGGCTACAGCCACCATTTTCCATAGCACATGGCGTGGACACTGGGTAGGGAGAAGGAGGGGGAATCAATGGTGACGTCTATGGCAAAGGAGGACTAAGGTAAAGCCGGTGCGGGCAAGGGCCGCTCACCTGGGGGCCGCCGGCGGTGGAAGACATGGATGTCCATAAGGTTCTCCAAGTTCTCCTGCAGGGTCTCCCGGTCCAGTCCTGTCAGCCGGTCGGCACTCTGTATACTCTTAGTCTGCCAGTCAGTCCAATAGATGCGCTCTCCATACAGGGTCAGCCCAAAGGGGTGGGGGAGCTGGCTTCCAATCAGCACCTGCCAGGGCCCCCGCACTTGTGTCATCCCCCATCCAGGCCCGATAGCACAGAACAGTGGTCAAGAGCTCAGGTGTGGAGTCAGGTTGGAGTTCTTCTACTATCGTCTGCTATGTGACCTTGAGCAAGAGCTGGTTATAAAATCTCTCTGACCTTTGGTTTGCCAATCTAGGATATGACCATGACAGTGCCTGGCTCCAAGGGTTGTGTGATGATTGTAAAAGACCACGTATGATTTACATAATGTCAAAATATCTCTGCACGAGTTACTTATTAATTACAAAAGGAAAAACAGCAACTTCACAGTGGACACCACCGGAACCACGCAAAGTTAGTACCATAATAATGGGACAAGCAGACATCTGTGCCTGCTGATGAGACACACCGAGAACTCAGGACACGACTTTATTTAATGTAGTACTCCTGCCCCAAATACATAATCTGAATCTAATTACAAGGAGAGGAGACATCAGACAAATTGAGGGACATTTTACAAAATAACTGGCATTTACTCTTTAAAAATACAAAGATCAAGACAGGCCTAGAAGGGACTTCTTTCCTTGACTGGATGGGTTAAATACTTATGAGGAAGTGTTCCAGATTACAGGTTAAAGATACATGATTACTAAACACAGTTGTGATCTGGGATTGCATCCTGGCCTAAGAAAGAAAAAAGGGGGGGAAAAGCTATTAAAGGACATTATTGGGGCAATTGGTAGTGAAATTGAATATGGACCGTGAATTAGACAGTAATATGGTATCAATGTTAAATTTCCTGATTTTGATCACTGCACCATGGTTACTAAAGACAATGTTCTTGTTCTTAGGAAATTGAAGTATTTTGGGGTCAAGGGCAGGATGTCTCCAATTTAATCTCTGATGGTTCAGAAAAATAATAATATGCATGTGTGTGTGTATAGACAGAAAGAGAATGGTTCAACAATTTGACTATCCTTACAACTTTTCTGTAAGTTTGAAATTATACCAATAAACAATAACAAAAAGAAAGAGAGCGATCATGGGTCTAGGATGCAATTGGTGATTAAATCGTGTTAGCTGTGATGGTTATACCATCTGTGCACTTATACCCCCAGCCCACCATCTACACAAATCCCTAGTTTCCCTTCATCATCATGCAATAATCCCCCATCCATCCCGCCTCTGCTCTGGAAGGCAGTCACAGCTTCAAAGGAACAGCACATGCCTTAACGCTGGTGCCATTGCCCCTGGGTCCTCCCAGCTGCCAGCCAGGGAAAGCTGTCCTAGAGGTTGTCTGGGTTGTGAGGGGATGCCTTACCGCCACCCTTACCTTCCTCTTGCTGCCATCCAGACCAGCAAATTCAATGGTCTTCATGCCAGCATCTGCCCAGTAAAGCCGCTGGGACCCGTAGTCAATGGCTAATCCATTAGGCCAGGTCAGATTGGAAGAGATGATGACCTGGCGGCCCGAGGCATCCATGCCAGCTCGTTCAATCTTGGGGCTTGCACCCCAGTCAGTCCAATACATGTACCTGGGCACAGGCAAGGAAGGTCTTACCAGCCTTCTAGTTAACAACACCCAGTGGGGATTCAGGGTGCCTAGGGTTTCAGGGTTTCAGTGTTTCTGCTTGCGATAGCTGCCCCAGCCTCCTGCCTCAGCTCCCAGCCACATCCTGGGCTCAGAGTTGTCTCTGAAAGTCTCTTATCTTCTATCACTATTGAAAGGGTCCCTGGGGTTTTAATAAAGGCAGAGCCTAAAGGCTCAAGGAGTGTTTAGCAAATAAGGTCTATGTGGGAATAAAGAAAGAAGGCAAGTAAGAATGGGGTATAAACAACCTTTCCTTGATTGGATGGGTTAAATAGTTATGGTATGTAAATTTAGCAGAATTCTATATAACCATTAAGAAGAACAAAGGGCATCTGGGAGGTTCAGTCAGTGAAGCATCCAACTCTTTTGATTTCAGCTCAGGTCACGGCCTCACAGTTCATGGGATGGAGCCCCACATCGGGGTAACAGCATGGAGCCTGCTTGGGATTCTCTCTCTCCCTCTCTCTCTCTCTGCCCCCTCCCCTGCTCATGCACATGCATGCTCTCTTTAAATAAATAAATAAATAAATAAATAAATAAATAAATAAATAAATAAACTTTGAAAAAAGACAGAACAAGATACTCTATATTATCAAATGGAAAGATAGTCAAGATTTATAACTAAGTGAAAAAAGACAAGTTACAAAACAGTATGCCATTGCTGTAGATCCAAAATCACCACCACCACCACAAAATGTATATATGCACATAAAAGAAAATCTGGAAAAATACCCTTAACTGTTAACTGCTAGCAATGGTTACTGCTGGAAAGTGAGATTATAGGCAATCTTCACTTCCTACAGATTTATTTACTTATTTGTTTTATTTATTTACAATGAGTTACTTTTGTAAGCAGACCAAAAAAAAAGAGAGAAATTTTAATTTTTTAATGTTTATTTATTTGAGAGAGAGAGAGAGAGAGAGAGAGAGAGAGAGAGAGACAGACAGACAGCGTGAGCAGGGGAGGGGCAGAGAGAGAGGGAGACGTAGAACCTGAAGCAGGCTCCAGGCTCTGAGCTGTCAGCACAGAGCCCAACGCGAGGCTCGAACCCACAAACTGCAAGATCATGACCCAAGCCCAAATCGGACACTTAACTGACTGAGCCACCCAGGCGCTCCGAGACGAAAAAATGTAAAAGGTTTCCTTGTCCACCGGGGAGAAAGAGTTGTCACTGCCTTCTGTGGTTTCTGTAGCTGCCCTTGCTGCCTTGGTGTGCCCATAACATCTGGCTGCTCTTGCTAACCTCCAGACTCCTCTCTAGTGCTCCTGGCTGTGGGACAGGTGGAGCTCTTCCCAAAGGAACAGGTGCTCACCCGCCCATGGGTTCCACCACGATATCCCGGGGACGATCAAGGTTCTCCCAGATGAGAACTGTCCTCATGCTGCCATCTGTGTTGGCCACTTCAATCCGGTCTGTACCTACCAAGAAATCGGGGGCAAAGATATTAACTCTATGCTTGGTCGTTCACCCGACTACCTTCCACTCCCAGCACAGAGCCTGGCACGCAGTAAACACTCAAGAAATATTTTACGATAGATGAGCAACGGATGTTTAGTGAACTGAATTTGGAGAAGATTCTGCTCCGGGTCCAAGAACCACACTTGGAGGCGCTCTGGTATAAGGCATCCCTCTTACCTCCCACACTCACTCACCTGGCTCATCGAAAATACCTGTTTTATTAAGACAGTAATAGAACGAAAACCACAGGGCATAGTTTCCTTATCTGAAATGCCTCAAAACATTCTTGAGCACCAGCTACACAGCGGCAGGAGCTGCCATTTGATTGGCAAATGCCAAATCCTCAGCTATGAGCATCTAGCTTCAGCCCTGCAGCAGCCCCACCACTTCTGACCTACCAAGAACTTCAGGCCAAGACAAGTGGTCTAGGAGGGGCACTGGGCCCCTTGTACCTGAGACTAGAATTTTAATAAGAGGAATCCCACACAGCCAGGCCATGGCTGCCCCGTACATACCTGCATCTGTCCAATATAGCTTGTTGGTGACCCAATCAATGGCCAGGCCTGCTGGGCTCTCCAAACTGGTATCTACCACCACCTGGACAGGAAGCAAAGCTGTATCACCAAACTTTGTTCAAGCAAAGCTGAGGACTTGTACCTCAGCTCTGGGACCCAACTGTACCAATTCTCAAGGTTGGCAAAGGTATGGGAAGCCTTTACCCAGGACAGGGTGGATTCCACCCCTCAATCTCTGCCCTCCCCAAGGGCCTGTGCCCTCGATGGGCCCTACCTCCTGTCCTGTTCCATCCCACTTGGCCCTGCTGATGGTGTCAGTGCTGACATCTGTCCAGTACACGTGGTCATCCCGGGAGTCCCAGTCAAGGGCCACAGCACTGCGCACGTCAGCCAGTGGGATGACATCGTCGGACAGGTCCTCTGTGTCGAAGCTGATCCGACGGATGTCCATCCTTCGGGCAAAAAGCAGGAACTTGTCAAGACCTGATCAAAGGCCGAAAGGGGTCTTCTTTTAATGTTCTAAATCCAGTAACAGTGACAGACACAGACGCTCACCTGTGTGACATCTGGTTCAATCACACTTCCTGGGAGCTGGTGCCCTTTGTCCCCTACTCTTCACACCTCAGGTCCCCTTTGAGCCCTTGGCAGCCCATGCTGACAGACTCAGACTTTAGGATCAATGGGCTAGGAAGCAGACTCTCGCCAGGGCCCAGAAACGCATCCTGTTTAAGCATCTGTCAGCTTCCGTCTCCTTGTCTCTCCTCTTTGCTCAGCTTCTTCCAGTGCACTGGCTAGATCACCATCAGCCCCCAGCCGACCTCACGGACTTCTGTTTCTGCTTCGGGCCGCTGCTGCTCCACTCCATCTCCTAGATCCTCTCTCTTGCTCTTCTCTTCACCAACTTTAGCCAACAATGACTTCCTGCCTTGTCTCCTCTATTCTCATAGCAACTCTTTGTGATTTATGTCATTGTTAATCTCATTTTCTAGATGAGCCACCTTGAGGGTAACAGACGTCAAGTAACTTGCCTAGCTTCCTCTCGCTAGAAAGCACCAGGGCTGGGACTTGAACTCAGGTTAACTCCAGAGAAGGAGCTCTGGACACTCCCCCACACAGCTTCTTCCTGGCTGGCTCTGTTCTGTCCCTTGCTCCATTCTGGTCTGAGTATTTCCCACTATGCATTTCTGCCTGGAAAGGCACTTCCTGCCTAACTTCACCAAGTGTCTTCTTTTAAGCTCTGGGAAACCCTTAAGGGGGAGCTCCTGGGGAAACCTCTTGCACCTCTCTGAGACAATATGGAAAAAGCTGGGCACTTAGAAGAATTGAAGGAAAGTAGGTTCTCAGTCAACGAGTGTTGAACAAATAGTCCTTGTTACTCTGCATAGTTTCCCTGATCTCACTTTCTGGAAATGACCCAGACCCCAAGAGAAATCTGATTTTAATCAGGAATAAGAGGGTCAGTGGGTGCACAGCAGTAAATAAGAGCAGCTGCTGACATACGAGGAACTACCCTCAGCCCCTTGTTAGTCATGTCATATGCCCGGATCACTCCTCTCTGGACTACTCTTAGGAAAAGTCACCTGTGACTCTGAGCTAGACAGGGCTACCGTCTCAAAGCAATGACCCTGCAACAGTTCAGTGGAAGCCAAAATAGTTCAGGGAGCGACTGGGGTGTCCCATTATGTTTCACTCATTAAACACATATTTATCCAGCATCTACATATGCAGAGTATCACCAGAGGTCCTAATCTCAGCTCTGTGGTTTAGGGGCTGGAAGTAAGTCTTTAACAGGGTGAGGCTAAAGGTTAAAAAAAAAATAGAAACCCCTGCTTTCTAGAAGGGCCTGGAACCTTCTTGTGACCTACAGATAAAGCATCCTACCTGGTGGAATGATACACGAGCCTGGTTGCAGGCATTCATATTTGACTGGGTAGTACCACTGAGCCCCCAGGCCTTGGCTTTGATATAAGAGCTATCAGCCTCTTAAGTTCTTCCTCTCCAGGGGCTACCTGAGGAGCCTGGCTCTTCCCCATGACAGGAAATCCCTTGGACTCCTATCTCTTGTTCCTTCCGCCCACCGTCACAAGGCACATTCATTGAGGCAGGTGTCCCAGACCCACTTACTCTGGGCACAGGCGTGGCTGCTGATCTTGCGGAAGCCAGTGGGACAGGCACAAGTATAGTTCTGGCCACTGGGCAGACACAGATGAGTGCAGCCTCCATTGTTGTCCCCACAGCGGTTTTTCCCTGTTCAAAGAGCCCAGAGCAAAAGGGTCAGGAAAGACCAAAGGTTGCAGAGTCCATCCCAAGGCTAGTGAGTAGGGGTTTAGCTAGGGTGTGAGCTCTCTGGAGGGAGAAACTATGTCTTATTTTTTATAGCTGCCCCAGCTGCAAGCACAGTGAATACCTGACATAGGAGATATCCTATAAATGTTTGCATGAATTAAATGACAGTGGAGCAGATTTTCAGGAGTGTCGATGTTGTACCCTAAATGTCCAGCAGAGGGAGAAATTAGCCCATTTCAATGCCAACCTCAAATTTCCCTGCCAGAAACCATGGCAACTGTGACAGGTGCAGGGAAGGTTCTCAGAGGCACCAGAGGTTTACCAGGTGGGTAGTTTTTTACCTGCAGGCTGGCGCTGGGGGTGCAAGGTGTGGATGTCCATGGGGAAATGGAGTTTGTTGCGAATAATCTCCTGGTTCTTCCCAGTAAACTTGTTAGCACTGTTGATGCTCTTGGTGTGCCAGTCTGTCCAGTACAGGCTGTCTTCAAACACGGTGATGGCAAAGGGGTGGGGGAGGCCTGGGGAAAGTCCAGAAGGACTTCAGTCCAGATATATCCTGCCATGGGCTCTGGGCCCAGGCCTGGCAACTGCACAAATCTCACCCTCTGCCAAGGCTTCTAGGGGCTGGGACTGGGGAAGGAGGATGAGAGATGGAGGAGAGTGCAGAAAGGGCCTCACCCTGGCTAATGACAGCCTTGCGATGACTCCCGTCCAGATTGGCCCTCTCGATGACATGGTGCTTAGCATCCACCCAGTACATACGATGCCCGGCATAGTCAATGGTGAGGCCATTGGGCCAGAAGAGATGAGTGTCGGCAATGATGCGGCGTCCAGAGCCATCCATGCTGGAGGCCTCAATGCGGGGGGTGTTGCCCCAGTCTGTCCAGTAAATGGTACTAGGAAGAGGGAAAGGACATTGAGAGACAGGCAGCAGAAGGCATGTAGTAACAAGGATAACAATCAGACTGAGGTCTTTTATCCATTTAACCCAGGAGACCCCAACTGGTAGGTGACACGTTCTGTTTAGTCCACAGGGTGTTTTTTCAATGTTTGAATTTAAATGTTTCTAGCAGGGCATTT